TTACATTTTTGTAGTGGGAATTTAAAAAAAAATTGCGATGACGTCATCAACATTTTTGCAAGGACACGTATATCAGTTGGGATAGATGTAGTGTAATACTACGAATAAAATTATTATATTCTCAAATTTTCGGGAAAATGAATTGGGTCGTTTTGAATATTGATTTGTAATAATCAATAAAATAACGAAACAATTTACTCACGTATACGTATCAGAGGCAACTGAAAATCGTGTATGTATAAACATTCTTAATTTAAGATGACAGGCGCAACAGCATACGTGAGAGTCAAACAGAGAAACTGTAAACAAAACGACCATCGGTTTTATTGCTTCGACTTCCGCTTATTATATAAAACATTGGGTTTTATTTTAATTCTTGACGGTGAAATTCACAATTGGTTGATTATAAACATGTCTATTTCACATTCGCGGAACCAAGTGAGCGCATAAAACAAATGCAGGTCTGTAATGTTAAAGTCGATGTAAATAAGCGTGCTACCCTTATGTTTCAACCGAGTTTTTCCTTTAACAAATTTTGTGTCTACCAAATTGGGTTGGTTGGGGTGTAATACTAATAATAAGTGTTGCCTTTAATTTAATCAATAAAATAAATTGACTTCATTAATTTTTTTGAACCACCTCTTAAGAAAATCTAAAAAATATGAATGGAATGATAAATCACAAGTACAAACATTTTACATTTTTTGCATTTTAGATAGGATTTATTCAGCAAAATTTAAGGGTGACGTCATCAATTTTTTTAGGAGGGATGAACAAATACATTTTGAACAAAAGTTTACCATGCTTATAATAACTTTAAAATATTCCCAAGATTTCAAAGCATTCGGTTTTCTAATTCCTGATTAAATCGATAAAATAAATTCACGCCTTCATTAATTTTTTTGAGTCACCCTGCATATGCAAATCCAAAAATATGATTGGAATGATAAATCACAAGTACAGACTCATCATATTTTGTACATTTTAGATACGATTTATTCGGCAAACTTTTGAGCTGACGTCATCAGTTTTTTGTAGAAGATAACCAAATATTTATATTTTGACTAAAAATTTATTATGCTCTTTATAACCTTAAAACATCTGCAAGATTTCAAAGCATTCGGTTTTGTAGTTCCTGATTAAATCAATAAAATAAATTTACGCATTCATTAATTTTTTTGAGTCACCCTGTATATGCAAATCGAAAAAATTTGAATGGAATGATAAATCACAAGAAGAGACTCACCATATTTTGTACATTTTAGATAGGATTTTTTCAGCAAAATTTTGTGGTGACATCATAAATTTTTTAGGGGGGACGACCAAATACATTTTGATCAAAAATTTACCATGCTTATGATAATTTTAAAATATCTTCAAGATTTCGAAGCATTCGGTTTTGTAGTTCCTGAGTAAATCAGTAAAATACATTTACGCTTTCATTTATTTTCTTGAATCACCCTGTATATGCAAATCCAAAAAATATGAATGGAGTGATAGATCACAAGTACAGACTGATCATATTTTGTACATTTTAGATATGATTTATTCGGCAAATTTTCGAGCTGACGTCATCAAGTTTTTGGAGGGGATAAGCAAATATATTTTGACTAAACATTTATTATGCTCTTTATAACCTTAAAACATCTGCAAGATGTCAGAGCATTCCGTTTTGTAGTTCCTGATTAAATCAATAAAATATATTTACGCATTCATTAATTTTTTGAGTCACTCTGTATATGCAAATCCAAAAAATATGAATGGAGTGATAAATGACAAGTACAGGCTCATCATATTTTGTACATTTTAGATACGATTTATTCGGCAAACTTTCGAGCTGACGTCATCAAGTTTTTGGAGGGGATAAGCAAATATATTTTGACTAAACATTTATTATGCTCTTTATGACCTTAAAACATCTGCAAGATTTCAGAGCATTCGGTTTTGTAGTTCCTGATTAAATCAATAAAATATATTTACGCATTCATTAATTTTTTTGAGTCACCCTGTATATGCAAATCCAAAAAATATGAATGGAGTGATAGATCACAAGTACAGACTCATCATATTTTGTACATTTTAGATATGATTTATTCCACAAACTTTTGAGCTGACGTCATCAAGTTTTTGGAGGGGATAAGCAAATATTTTTTGATTAAAGATTTATGATGCTCTTTATAGCCTTAAAACATCTGCAACATTTCAAAGCATTCTGGTTAGCAGATTAAAAATTAAATTTCAAAATGTTGTTTTATAATTTTGATTTTTTTTCCAAAAATCTGGACGTTTCGGGTGAAAAGTCGATTCAGAGTTGTAAACTACATGTGTAGGACTATGTTATTTTATACAATTGAAAACCCATTTACTATGTACAATTTTGAAGTGACGTCATCGCATTAGTGGTGGGGATGATTAGACAAATTTTGGTTAGCGTTTTACCATCTACATGATATTCTTAATATAAGTACAAAATTTCACAACAATCGGTCGAGTACTTTCGGAGATTATCTGTCTAATAAAAATTCGGGACAACAGACGGACAGACGGACAGACGGACAGACGGACGGACAGACGGACGGACAGACGGACAGACGGACAGACAGACGGAAATGGGAGACCTATTTCTTCGTCTTCTAGGGGTCATGAAAGATCGAGAAAACGTAAAAGTAGAGAGTCGGCCGACGGACTCGATTACAATACTTCCTTTGCTTACGCTCGGGAAGTAAAAATTTTTCATTCACGACGATCCGACGATTAAAACCGCCAGTCTTAAAAACCAGTGAATAGTTACTATATAAATTTTCGTGAAAGTGATTGTTTTCATGTGAATTTAAAAACCACCATGTATAAATTACCACAAAAATATGTTTGCTAATCTTAAAAAACACATTTTGGGTGTATCAGTTTTTAATCATTAAAAAAAAAGCGGAGACCTTAAAAAACACTTCTGTGAGCGTCTGGTGGATCATGATTATATCTACGGGAGGTTAACTACATCTCATGATGGTCGATGGTGGCAGATTGCACCAAATCGATATTTTCATCATAAAGCTCACTGGTTGCAGACGTGTCTCAACAAGAAGCTCTATTACATACTCATTTGTAGAACATACAGCCTATTCCATATTTAGCACAGAATTCAGCACATTATTGTTAGAAGGACTAAAATTAAATACCGGCTAGATTTTTATATTAGTTAACAAAAATAATTTATATTCAACGACAGGAATACCTACTCTAAGAAATAATTGGAACATACTTCATTACTAAACTAGCAATAATATCACTTGTGTAACATAAATTTATGTATTCTAGAAACGAGAAACCATTAAAATCGACTGGAAATTAAAGCATCATCTATTACGCAGCATATGCGATCAAACATAAAATATTAAAGGTCGTAAAGCCGTTTTATTCTTGAAGAACATAAAGAAGTCGTCACACGAACGAATAAAATTCTTGTGTGTCACCCGTAATCTTCAATCGTTTCTACGCAATTTTTATCGTCGGCAATTTGACTTTATTCCGTTCAATGTGGCGTAAGATGATTGTTTTAACGAAATTTGGTGATGGTAAATAAGGGACAGAAAAGGAGAAATGAACGTTTATAATTACATTCTACCACTGAAAGCCAACTTTACGGGATCTTTATGGAGGGACATTAGGACTTATAGTTTTAAGAATTGGAGATGCTTTAAGAAGATGTCAATTTTTTCTTTGCAGGAGCTTGCACGAAAAATTAAAAATTCTGTAGAAAACGAGCACCCGAATTATTCGTACTTAGAATATATAATTAATCAAAACTTCCAAGCTGTAGAAGTTAAAGATGTTGTCTTGATCAATTATTAATAATGTTTAATGGATTAAGAGAGTATTATAATATTAGTATAACTATTGTTATGTTAATGTATACATACGTTGAGAAACATGTTAATTATCTATACGGCATAAAAAATTTCGTATTATACAAACAAATTACATAGTAATATTATTCTAATCCAAATTAAATTGACTTCAAATTAAAACAAGTGGATCTTCTTACGTGTGATATTAGTAAGTTTCTTTTATTGAATTAAATTTGTTTATAACAGTAGACTGCACATATTGTATCACTTAACAAAAACGCCATGCCTGCCTATATATTATTGTTTATACCTGAAAAAAAAATACGTTTTCACTTTTCAATTAAAATCTATACATAACTATTTTATCATTTTTAGGGTGAATTTTATAATATTTTTTAACGGAACTTAAACAATGCAATTACTTCATCAAGGTTTGAATGTAGTTTTGCAAAGAGAACAAAGACTGTTAAGCTCAAAAGTTAGTGGGATCTGTAGGTTGTGATTCCATAGTATTTTTTGCACAACGGTAAACCTAAATTGATAATATAGATTATTATTGAAATATATAAATTTCAAATTTAATCCATAGTATTTTTCTCTGCACATCTGAAATATCATTAACAAAGGTAGTTAATGTACTTATAACTCAACCAACCTTTTAGAATATGTATATATGCTGACAATCTAAATTTGACTACATAAATTTACATTTTTTTTAGGTGATCACACAAAATAGTTCTCACAAAAATTCATCTTGTATTCATTTCTAAAATTCCAGAAAATATGAACTTATTGTAATTATTTCCAATAATATCTATGTTCTGCTTTCTATATAATCTGCGTACATCTATTGTTTATTTCAGTGTATGGCTCTATTCGGCGTTTATTATAATCTTCACGCAAAAAGTTTTTTTAGTACACGGTTTTATTACTACCTTCTCTGTTTGTTAAAAAAGATTAAAAATCTACCGTTTTTGGTAGTAAAGTTTAACATTTAACATATAACTGAAATCAACCTGTGCGTTATTGTCGGTTCAAGCCGAAATACATTATGGGTTAAAGTTTATGGTTTAAGATTTAGTGTCAAGAAAAATGATTAGTTTTTAATGATACGCTCACGACACAAGAAAAATAAATCTTCTAAACACAACCTACCTTCTAAAGTCTCTACTCCAACAGGCATATATAACAGGATTCATACTGGAATTGATCCATCCCAACCACGTTACCACAGCCAGAACAATCTCTTCGTGCCAAATGCACTGTAGACAAAATCCAGAAAGCAAGTTCACTACGAAAAACGGCAACCAACACACGATAAACACTCCCATCACTATCCCTAATGTTTTCGCTGCTTTTTTCTCTTTAGCAAATTTTGCCAATTTTCGGCTCAATGAAAAATTCTTGCTGTGAGGCCCCAATCTTGTGGAAGCCATTCTTGACAAACCGTTGTTCTGAAGCGCCGTCAAAGGTTCATCTTCTTGAGTCGAGTACAAATGTCTGGTTTCTGGATTCGGAATTTTACATGTACCTCCACGGTGTATCCGTAGGGTTAGTTCTAATTCTCCTGATCCCAGCAGTACTTGTTTAGTACCCAAACGTAGCGATCGCGTCTGAGCCACAGCTGCCCTGTAGATCCTGTAGTAAGTGAACACCATGACGAAGAGTGGTAGGTAGAAAGAGATAGTTGATGAGAAAATGAGGTAACCTAAATGTTCAGTAAATGGGCATTTGTAGGCAGGTATGGGCTCTGTCCGTACGGCTCTCCACCAAACTATAGCCGGGAAAGAAATAGCACTTGAACAGATCCAAACTGCCGCTATTAAAAGCGCAGCGCGTATTCTGGTCATTTTCATGGGATATGTTATAGGATCCGTTATAGCCCAGTAACGGTCCAGAGAAATAACACATAAGTTCAGGATGGACGCTGTGCTGAAAAGAACGTCGAGCGAACGCCAGATGTCGCACCAGTCAGTCCCGAAAAACCACGTGTGTTCAAGAACTTCATAAAGTGCACTGAAAGGCATCACCACTAAACCCACTAAACAGTCTGCAACTGCTAATGATGTTATGAAGTAATTTGTTGCGGTATGAAGATAACGTTCACGAACTACCGCGAGGATTACGAGCATGTTGCCGAAGACCGTGGTCATTGAAAAGAGGAGAAGGAGGGAAACAACAACTGCACGATCTTGCATCAGGGAACTCCATTGTTCCCAAGCGTCTCGCTCAGGGTCTGAAGTGTTCGTCCAGTTAACTTCCGGCAAAGTTAAGTTTATTAGTTCCCAGCCAGGCAGAATTAAAAAGTCTGAACCGTTCATAGCTGGCGAGGTCCTGCAAGATGACGCTCCTGGAACAAAATGCTTATTAAGTTGAAGACAAAAAAGATCAGGCGGAGTAAAGCGGTGATGTGAAAAAGTGTATGAGGTTACAAGCCTTCAGAATCGACGTGCATCAAATAAATTCAAACGTATTTAACGATAAAAAAGTGATAAATGCAATCTACAATTTACAAACACTCCATTATTTAGTTTTTCACACGAAAATAATTCTTACTACCATTACCAAGATCATTCTCATTGACAACATAAGAGTTTAAAAACTGCTTTAACATAAATTCTTTCCTACATCAACTTAACTTTATGTGGAGTATGTTTGAGTACCTATGTTTGACATTTCAAACAGTTTTTTCAGACATGTCCTGTTTCAGTATTTCACTGCATAACTGGATTTAAATATTTAAATTAAATTAAATTTCATGGTAAATGCTATTTAAATTTTATAAAACCACATGCTCTTCTACTTGTGGTTTAAGTTTTTACTTACTTAGGCATCCAGATTTTCCCCAAAAAAAAAAAATGCTATATTAACATTTTACAGTAATATTTGAGGAGAACGTTTAGCAACCGATAATAGCTGAGTTTATTGGAGCATGTGATAATAACGCGACTGTCGCGAATTCGACCTCTTCATGGGCCACTGTTTTTTCTTACACTGCCACTGGTATTACTCGTATCTATATTGTTTTAATTTTTAAATTTGTTGCATTGTATTTCCGGGGCGGGAAAGTTTTGTCTGAATAACATTAGACCACTTTTTGATTTTGAAATATGTATATGGAACTTCTACAAACATCTTAACACCTTAATATTCTGGAAGCTTAAATTTTATGGCATATTTTAATTGTCTGCGAAAATTGTCGTCAAATTATTATGAGTAATTAGTAGTTTCACGTTTGGAGTTGACTAGGTATTGCTAAACGTATATCTTTGTGTCAGTTTAACGCAATTTAACATCAAAGTAATATGACGGTCTCTATAAACCGACTGAAAAAGTGAATTAAATCGACAGCACAGCTTTTCCTTTTCGGTTCGCTGCGGACACGGCTAATAATTAGGTCATTTTCCTTTTTTACTGATTGCCTTTAAATTTCATTGTGGTCTTTCTGAATTTTTATTAATTGAATTGCCAACGAGGAAACTAGGCTAAACGTTGTCTTTCTTTTATAAAGACAAAAAATATTTAATAACTCTCTGTAGTCAAATATTTGAACCTTTGTCTCATCCTATGATTGAATAACAAATATCTAAAATATGTATGTTAACTATTGTAGAATTATTTACATTTGAAAATTATGTTGTCCATGAGAAAATCTTCTACCAAATATTTCACAACGGTATAATAATACACTTCAAATCACCTTTGTGGCGAAAGTGTTAATTTTATACTCCCACAATTATTTTTAAATTTGTTTTGTCATGAAGACGCTCCACAAGAGATAATATATCAAAACTAACTACAACAAGAGGAAAAACAAATTTTCTTGACAATTTACTATAACCTTACTTTCTTAGACAGTGGTAAAATTGGCTTCGTACAAAAGACAATGTGTAGAATAACCTATTACTGCAAAACCAACAGTGGCTAACAGGAACTGAAAAATGTAATATGTGAACGTAATCTAAGAATTTTGTTGATAGTAAAAAACTACGAAAAGTTTGGTGTGGCTATCTAAGTAATTTTTATTTATGTTTTAAAAAGTTGCTTGAAATTTTCTACTTTTTATGGTATCAGTACAATTATTCCATCTTATTTATTAGTCTAAACCATAACCTTCGAGTAAAATAGATCAAATGAAAAAAAAAATTTAATCAAAATTAGAAAATGGAACGAATATTTAATTAACTACGTTATTTTTAAACGATTCTTTCGAAGTTTTGTCTCAATATATGATCGGAAGTAAAAATTTACTAATGACATAGCCGGTCTTTTTATTTTCTACTTTAGCGAGAAATGTACCCAAATTTATTTCATATCTTTTTATGACAACAAAGGAGATTATATTTATAAATTAAATAAAAACTTAAAATAATAACTGTTAGTTCAAAACTAAAATATCTTTTATAATTTAGGTTTTGACAAATGTTCAAGATGTTCTCAATTGGTAAGTTAACTATGGTCCAACTTATAATTAAAATGATGCATAGCCTTTTTACAACTTCTATAGGAATTTCATCTATCTCTCCTGTGATGCAATATCGCACATCCTCTAGACTGGTTGGCATGCTTATTTATAAATTATAAACATTAGATTTCAAAGTCGCCACACAACAAAAAAAGTGAGGGGCAATGAGTCGGGGCAACGAGCAGGCATATCAATAAAACCTCTCCAACCCATCTTGTTGGAAATACTGGCGTTAGAAGATCACTGTTTGAAATCAGAGCTAAAATAAATACCTGGTACGATTTCATTTCGTAACGAATTTAGATAAAGTTGATCATTTAAATTCCCATCTATATAAATTACAAACAATACATCTACTTTTGTGAGTGCTGTGTATAAATTTGTCGTACACAGTGGGGGCAGTTCGTGGACCAAATATGACAATAATTGTGCCTATTCAAGCAATTCTTGGACGAAATGAATTTTGTAAAGTCTCAACTTTTCTCATTCAAAATTGTTACGGTTAGACGTTTGACAGTGAGTATAGATGTCACTGCGTTTGAGCAATATCATGATCTAATGTAACTAGAGGTAAAGAAATTTAAGGATTCTTCTCAATGGTTAATTTCATTACTTGGTCAGTATTATTATTACAACTATTTGTTTTATATCTACCCATAGTTACATACATACATATCCTTAGACTAACTTTTGTTGCGATCTGGATAAACCCTACGAAACAAATTGTAAACTTCTTCATATGACCGCTGTATATCACCATATCAGCACATTAACAGAATCTCTGATCAATCTGATTGCTTAGGTTAGGAATTATGTAAACTCAATTTTAATAAATAACTAATGCTTAAAGCTGACACTAAAGAGCTGTGAAACCTATTGATTTATTTTCGTTTGTTACTGTAAAAACGTAATGATGGTATTATCCAATCAGGTCTTGCTTTTGTGTTAAAATATTATTAATTTTTTTTATTATTTTTTTCTGGATCCAAAAGCATTGATGTGAATATTTATTAATGTAGTTTTTTATTTTACATCCAAAACTTTTGTATATTTTCCGGTTAAGTGGAAAATTGTAAAATTGAAGTTGTTGTAAGTGCATTTTTTCAGTCTAGGCACATAAGCGAGTAAGATAAAAAAAAAATGTTTTCAAATGACGGAGATAATTATTGCTCACTTTGTATATGTAATATTCTGTCATGGCGTTACTGTGTTGTTCCGAAAATTAAATTTTTGAAGTAAAAACAAAATAAGAGTGTATTTGAACAGTCTCCAAAGATGAATTAGTTCATATAGGCATTATGTCTGAACATCCTCTGCAATCATTCGCAAAAAACTAAAATTAGAATAATACAATGTAAATATCATCTTCCAACAAATACATAAATTTCTTTAATGATTTTTGAGATGTCATACATTTTTTGGTAGCAGTCCATCAATAGAATTTTGTTAGTGTCCTGTAATCATTGGTATTTATTGTACCTATTAACAAAAATTTTGAACCAGTGTGATTAGTGACTGCTTAGATAAATTGTAACACGCGATTCTGCAAATATACCTACATTTTTTATGACACCTAACCTCTATATCTTATCGTACAAACAGAGGTGATGCATATTTAAAACACATTTGTCTTATTAAAATTCCAAACTACAATTATATTAATTTTGACACATACAGCGTAATAGCAACAAAAGTGCTGTGTTTCCAGAATTTCCGAAAACTTAATTAAGAACTTATTATTTTAAGTTTTTATTTAATTTATAAATATAATCTCCTTTGTTGTCATAAAAAGATATGAAATAAATTTGGGTACATTTCTCGCTAAAGTAGAAAATAAAAAGACCGGCTATGTCATTAGTAAATTTTTACTTCCGATCATATATTGAGACAAAACTTCGAAAGAATCGTTTAAAAATAACGTAGTTAATTAAATATTCGTTCCATTTTCTAATTTTGAAGATTTTATATAAACAACTCCGTGTTTAAATATGTGTATCAAAGAAAGCACAAGCCATATCGCAACCTCAGACACATTTTTAATTGTAATCGAATCCATCGACCGACTCTCTACTTTTACGCTTACTCGACCTTTCATCAGCCCTACGTACGAAGAAATAGGTCACCCGTTTCCATCTGTCTGTCTGTCCATCTGTGCCTCTGTCTGCCGTCACGGATTTTTATTAAACAGATAATTTCCGAAAGTACTGAGCCGATTGTTGTCAAGTTTTGTATTTATATTGGAAATATCATGTATATGGTAAAACGCTAACCAAAATTTGTCTAATCATCCCCACCACTAATGTGATGGCGTCACTTCAAAATTGTACATAATGAATGAGTTTTAAATTGTATAAACTAACCTAGTCCTACACATGTAGTTTATGATTCCGAATTGAGTTTTTTGGAAAAAATTGCAATTTAATTTGGAATCTGCAAACTCGCATGTTTTGAAATCTTCCAGATGGTTTACAGTTATAATAAGTATGATCAATTTTTAATCAAAATATATTTCCTTATCCCCCCCAAAAAATTGATGACGTCAGCTGAAAAGTTTATCGAATAAATCTGTACTTGTGATTTATCATTACATTCACATTTTTTTAGATTTTCATATACAGGGTGACAAAAAATTTAATGAATGCGTGAATGTATTTTATTGATTTAATTAGGAACTACAAAACCGAATGCTTTGAAATCTTATAGATGTTAAGCATGGTAAATTTTTGAGCAAAATGTAGTTGCTCATCCCTCCTAAAAAATTGATTACATCATCTCAAAATTTTGCCGAATAAATCAAATCTAAAATGTGCAAAATATGATCAATCTATACTGTCACGACTAGGTTACATATTTATGTGACTGTGACAATACTTGTAATTTATCACTGCATTCATATTTTTTTAGATTTGCTTATACAGCGTGGCTCAAAAAAATTAATAAATCAGTCAATTTATTTTATTGAATAAATCAAGAATTGCAAAACTGAATACTTTGAAATCTTGAGACGTTTTAAAGTGATTGTAAGCATGGTAAATTGTTAATCAAAATTAATCTGTTTAATGCCCCGAAAAAAATGATGACGTTATCTAAAAATTTTGCCGAATAAATTCTACCCAAAAATATGTGCAAAATATGATGAGTTTACTTCTGACTCATCATTGCATTCATATCTTTTATTGATCAAATTAAGAACGAGTCACCCCATTTTTCCGAAAATGTCAAATACAAACGTTTTTATTTTTAATAAGAATCATAATAATGATATTTAGAACATTTTTTCGATTGTAGCTTACTACTTAATAGTTTTGATCCTGTGTTTTGAGGGGACGAACTCATTCAAATCAAAATAATTTCTACGTTACATTCTTCCGATGTATAAACATAAACACTTTCAAGTTGTTTTTCTTATCGAGGATAACCTAAGGACGTACAGTAATGGAGTCTATTGGACAATTTGGTACTTTCATATTTTTTCGATATTTCATAACCCCTATGATGCTGAGCCTCCCCTAGATCTAGACAAGTTATAATTAACCAAATATGAATTACTACATCGAAAATAAAAATAAAATGTTGTGTTTTATTCAGTAAACGGAAGTCAGAGCAATAATAAAGTCTGGACCGTTGGCATTGTGATCCGGTTATTGCAATTCGTAGAAAACATGTTTTAGTTTAGTTTCTGTTTCACTGTCACGTCTACAGGTTGATAAGTGTTACGTTATTTGTCTTAAATTACAAATACCATAAATGATTTTCAGTTAGGTAGTAATCTTCGACCAGTTTTTTCAGAAACATTATTTTCTTTAATGCAATTGAGATGTCGTCGCCTACTGTTTACTTATAAGGAATGAATGAATAAATTTCGTTACGTAGATTGCGAAATATAATTTTAAACCTGTAAGAGTCACTAAATATAAACATAACCACATTATTAAACTGCAGATGAAAGGCATGTCGAAATTAATTTCAAACGAGATTTATACCTATTAATCAGTACAGTAATTTCGGCGTTCTCTGTCTAATAAAATCTCCAAAAGACAACTGATGAAGAGGCAAACGGAAACTAGAATGAAATTAAATATTCGGTGTAACTGTATGCAATACTGCTTAGGTAATTAATTTACAGCTAAAACCAAAGAAGTTACTGTTGACAACAGCATCCTAGTATTATTTAAATATTTACTGAATTATGAGAGCTTGTTATACAGAAATATTCATTATTTTGTTAAAAACTTTAAGTTTTCAAAAATTTTAGCATTATCTAAGCGTCCTATCCTAAATGAATCTGAATATCCTATTTTTTTCTTGCCAATGATGCCAGGAAATGCTTATTAATTAGATCAGATAATGGTGCATATCGATTTCACATTTTTCTTTATTTGCTAAGTTATTTTTAAACAGTAACACGTTTTGAAACGAGCTGGGACAAAAGTAAAGCGTTTAAGACATAAAACGAACTGAAGGCAGAGAACATAAATCAATTATGTAGTGTCCTTGTTGCAAGTCGGATAAACTTAACAAGGAAAACTTTGCCGGTGGCAAAGCCGCGATGTTTTTCCGTTATTTATGACAGGAAATTTCTCATTAAGTCTTCATTCTGTTGTATATAATTTTTCCGGTTATTTATTGTTAACAAAATAATGCTTGGTATATTACTACTTTATATAACTTATATAGTTAGCAGATACGTAATGACTCTGCAAATGATACTTATTAGCTATACGTAAGTCCAAAAAATGCATAATCCACGGTACACTAGAATACGTTGAAATCATTTGTACAATTTATTTGAGAAACTACAAAATTGATTGTTCTGAAATTTTACACATGCTTTACAGTCATCGTAAATGTGATAAATCGCTATTCGGAATTTAACTGTTTATACCTTCCAAAAACTTGGCGACGTCGTCTCAAAATTTTGAACGATCAGTAAAAACAGAATCAGATTTGACATTTAGTTGAAAATAATAATAATAAGACTAATTTCAAATTGTTATTTACAAAAGGTGGGTTTGTTTTTTTAAAAGTGCAATAATTATATGTACCGTTAAAGAAACTTTTGCCATCTCACTCTTGGTCTTGTACACTCGAAGACGACAACCCTCGCATTTTTTCTGTTACATGACAGACCTTTTGCGCCAGTGGTCACATCGTTTGATATTGAAGGTGAAATCTTCTAATAGCAGAGCGAGTTTCCATGCAATTGTGTTTCTTTCAAAAACATACACTCTTGCCGCACAAAAATGTTGCAGTTGCTTCCATGCACACTCTATTGATTTTTTAGTGTAACTGGAGTCAAATTATTTATTTCCACATCACCTTTCGCCAAACCGGCCGGAATACATTTTTACTTTTCACTGTCTGCGTTGTCATGCAAAAGTTTACACAGATACAGATCCAGAAAATATTTGCTTATTGATCACTTTTGCGTAAATTACGTTAATCTTTACTTTTATTGGAATAGAACGATAAATGTACAATTTTCAATTTCAGGAAATAGTCTGCAAAATGTCCGCTCGCGCAAATCAAATTGTGAGCAATTTGAAATGTACTCGGGATATTAGTATCAAAATTTTCACTTGGCATGTTCAGAATATACATGTTATTTCTTAAGTCACTACTACTTTTTGGACGTGTTTATTCCTAATTATAGCGTGGATCAAAAATGAATTAACTAAGCAATTTATTTTATATGTTAATTAAAACAAAAACGAATTATCATATTTTTCGGAATTCTGAGTTGTTATTAATGTTACACTTTACCTGTAACAACTGCTTTATTAGGCCCTACTATAAAGTTGATGCTGTCATCACAAAATTTTATAAAAAAATCTCACTTCAAACATACAAAACATTGCGGTTCTTTCCGTATATTTTAATAATCTATCTTTACTTTTATATAAATGCTTAATGTTGCGTTATGGCCTTATGGTAGTGTCTCCAATTTACTGTAACTGAAAAAAAATTAACACTTCATTTTAAACTAATATAATCTCACACATATTTCTTGATAACTTTAAGCGATTTCGTGCAATTTGCAAATCTGAAATAGCTGAAGCCTATAATTTATATTTGCATAACGTTGAAATGTCTGTTCAGCGCAATCCTAAGGAAGTTTTCAAATTTATTCATATGAAACAAGGTACCACCAGAATTCCTGGTAAAATGTACAAAGAGGGTATAACATACGAATCGGCTGAAGATATTGTTAATGCGTTTCAAAGAGTCTTTTCTGATATATACCGTCCTTCGTCAGACCTATCAGTTAATGATATTCATAGTAACCTACCAAGTTTTAAACTTATACCCGTCTCCGAAGAAGAGCTTCTTAAAATAATGTCAACCTTCCCCATCAAAAACACTGCAGGTGAAAATCAAATTCCAAGTTTTCTTATTCATGATACTAGATTTGCGTTAATTAAACCTTTAGTTCTGATCATTAATAAAGGAATATCCACTTCTACTTTTCCAGTTAGGTGGAAACGAGCTAGGATAATTCCGATCCACAAGAAGAATGAACAGTCGCAATTGAAAAATTACCGTCCAATTGCAATATTGTCCAATTTTGCTAAGATCTTTGAGCAAGTTATATATAAATCAATTTTTAATAATATTCAATCCTACATTTCTCCTTATCAGCATGGGTTTATATCTGGACGATCAACAGTTACCAATCTTGTGACAATTACCCAGTTTATTTGTGAAGAATTAGATAATAACGGCCAAGTTGATGTGGTTTACACCGACTTTTCAAGCGCCTTCGATACTGTGGATCATCAAATTCTTTTAGATAAACTTAGTTCCTTCGGTTTTGCTCAATCATTCCTGGCCCTTATAATGTCATATTTATCAGATCGTATTAATTATGTATCCTACAATGGTTATAAGTCACAAGAATATGTCTCAACATCAGGCGTGCCTCAGGGGTCTAATCTTGGATCACTGTTGTTCATATTGGTCATTGAAAGTCTTCTTAAATCATTGTCTTGTCACGCACTTGCCTATGCTGATGGTTTGAAGATTTACTATAGAATTTCGTGTGTGAATGATGTTAATTATCTGCAGCAGAACTTGAATAAGATTATACTTTGGACTCTTCGTAATAAGCTAAAATTAAATATTGACAAATGTCGTATAGTTTCGTACACTCGTAAAAAACATAGTGTTCCTTCTTC